AGGGGCACAGAACCCCAGGGCCATGGGGACAGGACCCTGTGGACAACACGGCCGCTCGGTGCCCAGGCGAGCAGTAGGGACAGGAATGGGGACACTCACTCACGCGTTGCACAGCACCTACATGCAGTGCAACACACCTGGAGCACCCATCTGCACCCTCAATGCTGCGCTGCCCCAAACACACTGCACCTTGCACACGTGCCACATACACACACACGCACCCCTCGCACCTTACACACGCACTGCGTGGCACTGACCTCAACACACAGCACCTCGCATGCACACACCAAGTGTGTAGCATCCCCTGTACAAACTGACACTGTCTACGGTACGTATGGCACCGTACAGATGCACACAGAGCCTACAGCACTTCAGCCTTGCATGTAGTCACACTTTGTCCAACACCCCCTCAGTGCTGGCAGGGCCCTGGGGTCCCAAGCGTCTCTGGCTCTTCCCATCCTACCCAGCAGTGGTAGGACAGGGCTGCAGGGGCAGAGACTGGCCAGGGAAAAGGACTTTACAACCACATAACCCTGGCTGCCAGCAATGCAGAAGGATGGTACCATCCCTGCCCGTCCTCGACCCCTGTCATCTCAGCAGTGGGGTCCCCTCATTCTTTGGGGACCAGGCACTGTGCCGATGGCAGGCCTAGAGTCCTGTCCCTCTCGGCAGTCCCCGTGCAGAGAGAGGTGCAGGGCAGAATCCAGCCCTGCAGGACTTCAAGCCCAGGGATCCTCTGCAGCGAGGAAGGCGTAGGGGTGCAGGGCTGGGGGTTTCCTTACCGCTGTTGCTGGTGCTGGGAATGCTGCGCCTCATCCACTCGTATGGGGTGCGTCTCTGGGCATTAGGGGAGAGCTGGGGGACCGAGCTGCTGATGGGTGGAGGCAGGAGTCCAGAGCCTGGGGGCTGGATGGGATTAAAATCTGGGGGGCTGAACCCGAACTGCCCCGTGCTGGCGGTGGAAGGCGTGGCGGCGGTCCCATAGGAATGCCAGTCCTCCTTGGCAGGGGTGTAGGGAGAGCCCCAGGCGGCCGCCGGCTGCCCGTGGTGCGGGTCGTTGTTAATCCCTGGCACATGGTGGTAGCTGGCGAAGTCCGAGTACTGGGGCGGCCCCGGCACGTAATTCTGGGGGTTGAGGTTGAGGCTGGGATGCCGAACGGGGCTGGGATACATGTTGGTGTCCTTATCCAAAAGATAACCCACATACATCTTCCCCGTCCGGCTCCACGCACATGCTGCGCTGCTGTGCCGCCGGCTGCAGGCCGGGTTTGATTTGGCGGGGAGGTGGCCGCCCCTCCTTCGCCGCTGCTCACCTGGGCGCCTTGGGGAGCTGTGTCCCGGGGCCAGGCACCTCCCTGCCCACAGGCTTTTATTGGGCCCAACCTCTCACAGCATTTGCATTGAAAGGCAGGTTTGCATTTCAAAGTGCAGGAACCCCAGCGAGCGAGGGGGGCGAATTCAAACCTCCCACCCTGGCTGCAAGGGGGCTGAGGCGGTGGGTGACCCCAGGAAGCACCAAGGACCCTGCGTACCCTCTGCTGTCACCACCCCACAGCTGTTCCCTTGCCACCGGCCACGGTCTCTTTGTACCAGCTGGCTTTGGGGACACCCAGGCATCATGAGGGTGCTCCAGGGGAGCCCACCCCATCCCCATAGACATCCATACTCCAGGAGCAGGGTGTCTTGGGCTGAGCCCTTGCATTAAAATCTGGCTGCAGGCAGGCGATAAGCTGAACTGTGCCTGCCATCGGGCCCCATCCCCACACAGGGGGACACCGAACCCTAGCTCGGGGGTGGTGTTTTCCCATGCCAGGAGCAGCATCTGCCTGATCTGGGGGCTGTGGGAAGGGAAAGCTCTGGGTCTCTCTGCATTTACTCCATCTGAGGGCAAAACTACCCCTCCAATCCCTATAGCAAAGCTCAACCTGGCCCCAGAGAGCAGGACAGATGGACAGACTGAGTGCAGGGAAAACGTCCCCCCATAGACCCAATGGGGAGCCTCTGGGCTCCAACACGGCTTGAAGGGGCTTGCGACTCTGTAGCAAGAGGAGTTTCTCTCCTATTTTCTCTCTTAGAGAAGCAAAAGCATCTCCATGTGTTTTCTAATAAGGAAAACCAAGCAGAAACAGGACTCTGGTGAAACCGTGTCTGCCTGCAAGGTAGGAGGTGGCCACTGGCCAGAAACATCCCCCTGCAGAGATCACCCACTGCCAGGTCAGACATAACTCCGCTCTGGAGAGGGATGAGGGACCAAGGACCAACTCTGTGCTATCCAGGCCAGAAACCCCCATCATCTGCAGCAGGGAGCTTCCTCCCCACCAATGTCCCCCTCCCCACCAGTGTCACACTCTGGCTGTGCTGGTCACCACCACATAGTCACAGTTGTCATCTGCTGGCTTTTTCTCCTCAAACCAAAGCCCAGCCCTGCAGAGTCTCCAGGAGGGGGTTCTGTCACCTCCACAGGGCCTTTTCCTCTGCATCAGCCCCTTCCTTTGCTGGAAACGGGAGCAGGGTGAGGACTGGTTGGTCTTCATCCTCCCAGGACAGAAACAGCCTGGAATTTGACAAAAAGGAACAGAAAAGAAAGAAAAAAAAACCCAAACAAACCAAAACAACCAGAAAAAAAAGATATTTAGGATGAAATTCAGAGGAGGGAATAAAAGAAGAGGTTTTCATAACTTTTTTCTGATATGAACCTGGGAAGTGTTTCCAGTGTGGGATTGCCTCCCAGATTTGTGGTGTTAAAAGGAAAATAGTAACAAAACCAGCAAAGGCTCTCTGACTTGAACAGCTCAGTGCATTTGATGCATGGCCACTTCTTGCCTTCCCCCTCTGCAGCTGGTGGCAGATGTCCCCAGCATTAGCCGGTGGGTGGGGGACAGCCCCCAGCCACCAGTGCTCCCCAAGACCCCGCTCGCTGCCACACCAGCCCTTCATTCCTGTGGCATCCTGAGCTCTCCTGTGTCCATGGAGGGATCAGGATGTCCCCAGGCCCCTGCAGCGCTCCTGTCATGTTTGCTCAAGGTGGACTTTGGGAGAGCTCGCAGTACCCCACAGCCAGGCCAGGCTGGAGCTGTTCCCACCCTGTGCTGGGGCCATAACAGGGCAGCACCCCCAGCTCGGGAGCCGTGGGCCACAGTGGCTCTGCATCAGTCCTGGGCACCTCGTTCCATTGCTCCAGCCCCAATTCTGTCTGAAATTGGGTGAAAATATGGCATGTCATTAAAAATGTGACAAATATGGCATGGTAAGCCCCTGTGCCACATACACTCCCTGCAAGGAGTTGGGGGGATGAGCCAAGATGAGATCAGAGGGGAATAGTAAGAGGTAGGGGACCTGGCTTGCAAGAAGGGAGCAGAGTAAAACACCAGCAATGGGAAATCACCTCCAGAACTGACATCACCTGGGCTCTGCCTCCTGAGACCTGACACGGCCAGAGGTACCATGAGAGGTGAGCGATTTGCAGCATCCTCCTTTCCCCTCCCTGTGCCACCCCCAGCGTCCCCAGCCCCTTGCCTAGCCTTGTCCCAGCTCCCTCCCTCATGACAAAGGTGACCATCCCACCCAGTGGTGATCCCAACTCATGCCGCAGTGCAGATTGATGTCCCATATAACCCCATCTATTTTTTTTTCCCCAAGGTCTCAGTACAGCCATGGCTTTGTTTGAACAAGAGAGCCAAAGCCTCCTTCCTCTTCCTCCTCCTCCTACTAGCAAATTGACTCTGGCTTAGGGAGTGGGAAAAAAAGAAGAAAATCCCCCCCAAGCAGATGGTGGGAGGTGTGGAGGGATGCAGGTGGCTGCTGGGTCCCACCCCAGGGGTGGCTGCATTTCAGGGACGGGGGATGCTGGGGTTGTTCCTGCCATTGGTTGCTTCCTGCAGACAGTGATGGGCAGCCCGGGGCCCCCTTTGTCTTTTCCCAGCCCATAGAGCCAAGGCCAAGGGCTCAGGCAGCTGCTGGGGACCGAGGGGTTCAGGGGTCCAGGGGCAGCACCCCACACCTGCATCCTCCCCACAGCAGGTGAAGGGCTGGTGGGGCACAGCATCGCCAGGTGCCTGCTAACAGCCATGCCATGAGCTCTGTCAGTGCAGGGAGAAGGGGGCAGGGGAAGACAATTGGGCCATAAAAATCCACCCATGATAACTTCCCTCTTTTCCTTTCCTTTGGCCTGTTTATTGCTGGTGAGGATTATGGCTGGGGGAAGGT